CGTTTCACTTGCGATGACTGTGTGTAGTACACAAGAGGAAAAGGATAGTAGAAATGGCTTATTGGTGTGAGACCGCGCTCTGCAGATGATGGGAAACACTCCGTTGATAATGAGAAGCACTCCTGCTGTTGATGAGAACACGTCCGCCGCTGCAGGAGTATACAGGTTTTACCGCTCGTTATGAAGCGGGACACTTGATTGATGATGAGATCAGGCCCGCTGCTGCGGAAGTACACAGGCTTTACCGCTCGTTAGGAAGCGGGTCACTTGATTGATGATGAGATCAGGCTCGCTGTTAAGGAAGTACACAGGCTTTACCGCTCGTTATGAAGCGGGTCACTCGATTGATGATGAGATCAGGGTCGCTGCTGCGGAAGTACACACGCTTTACCGCTCGTTGTGAAGCGGGTCACTTGATTAATGATGAGATCAGGCTCGCTGGTGCAGAAGTACACAGGCATTACCACTGGTTATGAAGCGGGTCACTTGGTTGATGACGAGATCAAGCTTGCCGCTGCAGAAGTACACAGGCATTACCCCTGGTTGTGAAGCGGGTCACTCCGCAGGTGATGAGATCACTCCACTGCATTCGAGTCCGAGTACAGAGAGGTCTCTCGAGGCTCCATTTCATAATTTCTGCTTGTACTATAAGTATTAATTACAAACAAAAAAAAAGGAGACCTCTCATTAGACGCTCTTGGTCACGCGCGTTGCCGGATGCATTTGCACTGAGTGAATGGAAAATGAAAGTGCTCAATTTGCCAGCCTGCCCTCACCAGTAAAGAGGGCTCATTCTGAACATCTCAGYGGCAAAGGGGTACATTTCCAATTATTAARCCGAGCATTCATGGGGGCATAGTGAAACAGTATTGGTCAGTTGAGCACAATGGCAGTTGCCATTGTCCACCGAAGAGAGAGCTGTTCGTTATGACGGCAAGCGTTGATGTATGTTGGATCKGATTGAAGCGGAATACACTGAATTGGTAATAATTTCGCTTTTGAATATGCCGTGCACTGAAAAGAACCCTTGAAATGGAATATTTTGGGATGATGATTATTTTATTTCTAAATTTGCAGCGCAGTGGAAAAGAGTTTTCGAACTCGCTTCGCGCAAAGGTAGTGACTGGCAAACATACGCACATCACCCTACCGACCGCTGAGGACCTCTGATGTGGGCGCAGCGAGTGACAGGCGCTGTTGCCCTTGGCCTCAGCGAACGGTAGGCGCCCCTCCCCGGGTTTCCTCGAACCGTGGCACGCTATCGCTCCCTATTAGCCTCAGACCCCTTGTTCTCAGTGCCAGCGAGACAGCAAATACCGAGCCTCGAGGTTCGTTCGTCGAACCCGAACGGAGTCTGAACGACGGGCACGCAACCTGCAGTTGAGACCCTCATCGTCCGATTCTGAAGTTTGTAGCGATCGACGACAGCAGTTGATCAGATAGCGCGACACCCATAGTGTGCACCCGGTCCATCAGGTCCGCGATCGACCACAAAGGCGAAACCAAAGGAGATGGTAATTCCCATCTCTCGGGCCTAAGGCATACGAAACATGCTTGAGATCGACGACGAGCAATGATCGTGGGAGACTCTGTTCTAGAATGCAAGAGTATCTAGATTTGTTAACAACACGATTATTTCGGGACTCTTGTCCCTGGGATACACGGCGTAGATCATCGGCCTTATACTGCACGACACCTGCAACATTCCTTTCTTTACACTAAGTCTGAAAGGTGGTATATTCGCTCAAGGAACCTGAAACGCCGCGTGCACCCACCCCTTTCGCACTTTTACCCTCGAAACCTGCCACAGGAGATCTCAGTTCTATCCTGGGACTCCACCCCCACTTTCCTAAAATCCTTGGCACACCCCCTTTTTCGCACTTCTGGGCCCCCATCCCACTCCGATGAGGAAGTCGCGCTGGGCGTGAGGTTGGGCATCACATGTACGCACATCTACATTGACAAGGCACAGGGCAGCGAGGCGGAGGTGTACTTCGATTGGAACAGGCAGTGAACAGGCAGTACTCCATCATTGCACAGCTCGTGTGCGATGAGAACTTGCGCATTTTGGACGTTGTTGTCTGCGCTCCCGGATCTGTGCATGATTCGCGTGTGCTCCGACTGTCTGATCTATACAGGCGTGGGGAGGAGGGGAGGAGTCATTCACACGGAGGACGAACGTGTTTGTGGACGGTACTGTCATGGGCAGATAGATATTGGGGGATGCAGGGTATCCTATCTTGTCGTGGCTAATGACACCGTAAGGGGGAAGTTAGCGAACAGCGGACGAGATACCGTTTGACAACAAGTTCTTTGCCTTGCAGAGTGCGATCGAGAGGTGTTTCAGTCGGTTGAAAGGAATGTAGCGGTGCTTCAGCCGAAAACACATCGCCAACATGGCGAACGTGTGTCTTCAATTCTTTGCATGTTGCATTCTGCACAACATCATCATCGATGTCGGTATCCCTATGGACAAGGAGTTCCTACGAAGGAGGGGTGAGGAAGAAAGTGGGGAAGAGGACAACGACGACAAAGAAGAAGAGGTTGCGGATATGGACGACAACAACAAAGAAGAGGCCGCGGATATGGATGACGACAACGAAGAAGAGTCCGCGGATATGGACGACTTTAACGAGGCCGCGAATATGGATGACGACAACGAAGAAGAGTCCGCGGATATGGACGACTTTAACAAAGAAGAGCTCACGGATATGGATGACAACAACGAAGAAGAGCCCGCAGATATGGGCGATGATGGCACCGATCTTCGACGCGAAGGCTCGATATTGTACGCTAGCCATCGACATGGGCAGGATGCAGCCGAGGTTCTGCGTGGCCATGTCTAGCGCCACACTCTCCATATAGCTCGTGTGTTTGGGCCGAATGTCAGTAGGCACGGTCCATAGTCGGAGACACACACACACACACACACACACACACATACACACACACACACACACACACACAGAACGTGTCCGACAGTGCTTGTGAGGAGACAACAATCCCCCAATCTTTTTGATGGGTTCTTCATCAATGTGAGTGTGACTGGTGTTTTTTTTCCAAGCAGTTAACACTTGAAAAGAAAGTACATGACAGAAGCTCTCTCTGTCTCATTTTTTTTTTATATAGTGTAGGTGCATGTATGTGTGCTCGTGTTTGTGTGTCCCATGGGAACAGTAAATGACGTGGGAGCCATTCCTCACCTGACATTTTTCATCCATCACTGTTGTCGTGCAGGTCATCACATGATCATGGTGACGATTGTCTTGTTGCAAGGAATGAGTCCAGCATGACATGAATTTACAAACTTTTTAATGTACACATGACAAAGAAATTGCAAAAAATGACGTCTTCCCCATTATGACAGCGGTTGCAAATCCCACAAAGCAAACACGAGTAGGAAAAAAAGTGATAAGCCCAATCGCATTCATCTCACTCCATTCTTTGCTTTCCCCTTTCTGTTACATTCCCACACAAGGTGAAACCGTCATCCACTGAAAGGAGAGTAGGCAGAAGAGACACAAGCAAACATCCTCGTGCAAAATTTAAAAATAAACACCTGCTGCTGAAATCAAGCAAAGTGTTGTCACGCCGTCATTACCGGAAAGCGGGAACACAATGCAAATTCAAAACAAATGATCACCATTATGACACACTCGCCACCGGCACCAATTCCTCTGGATAGCACCATCGTTTATGCCAAAAAAAAAATCATTCACATGCAAACGACATTCATATAGACTCGCCACAATGTTGACACAAGAGAGTGAAACTAAAAATAGTCCATGACTACGGGGACTGAACTGTAACAACTGCTCATAAGGGGTTGCTGCCTCCATATTCTTGCCTAGTCTACATTTATAGACATGGCCCTCCTCAATTGCTCAGCAACGGCTATGCCGTCAGTGCGGTCTGCCGACATGGGAGCAGCCACTGCAAGGGATCTAGCGCGGGTGGCAGTGGCCACATGACGGGGAGGGGATGTGCGGCGAAACGTGTCCCACCCCGCAGGGCTCACTGAAACAGTCGCACTGGTGACGGAACCACGTTGGCTGCACCCGGGACTGTGCACAGTAGTCAAGAAACCATCATGTTCCCCGGGAGAATACTGGGAGCCACCTTCGTATAGAGACAACAGATGTTCCAACCGCTGAACCTCCTCCCGCAGGACAGCGATAGAACTCTATGCAGCCTCTGCTCTCGACATTCCCTCTCTCATGTGCACTTTGTCAAGCTCCCCCTGCAAACGTTTTATCTCCTCCACCATTGCAGACATGCACGTGAACAGCACACCCCTTTTGCGTGCCAGCTCATGGGCCTGTTCGATCATCCTTCTATGGGTGAAAGCGAAATCACCGGCCATGTCAACTACTTTGCTTACACTGCGGAGTGGGGAGGAAGACATGAGGACTGACCTGCAAGAATGAGAGGATGGAGGCCAAACGCAGATGGACGCACATCAGTTCCACATCGCCCACTTCTCGACTTGCATGTGTGGAATACGGAAAACTGACAAGCATAAGTCTGATAAATTTCGTCAAAAAAAAAAAAAAAAAAACATTAACATCCTCACGCAAGAACAAAAAATTGGTGATCATTTGTGCTCACGATCGTTCCGTTCGCCATCACCGATCCCACTGCCCTCGCCCCTCTCTGGAACAGAAGCAGGAAAACCCGCCATGGACCCCGAAAGCATTGCAAAGCATTGGAGCAGCATGGAGTTCCCTTCGGCCAGTGTCATGTTAAGGCCATCCATGGCCTGCACGAAACTAACAGCCAACTTGTCTGATAGCTTGTCCTGAGCATTAACAAGAGCATGAGTAATTTCCACAAAAGACCTATCCCTTCCACCATCAGCCTCACTGTCAGACGCGGATCGTCTGTTAGGTCCCCTCTCTCCTCCCGTGCGTGGCAACTTCGCACCATGGGTGCTCTTGCTGTCCGCTTTCCTCCGCACACTGCCACTCTCGCTGTCACCACCAGTTGCTTCATCATCTGTTCCCCCGCTCGCTGCCCCTGGTCGGAGATGCACAATTTGCATCATCCCCTCACACGTGCCGTCAGCTTTTGTCAGCTTCCACTGGAGTGCTACAAAGAATCAACTCTCATATGACAAAGGCAGTCCAGCTTCCGGGCACAGCGCTGCCGGGAGCGCTGCGCCTCGTATGGGTAGGACTGGTCGGAGCGGTGGCGGTCGAGGGTGCGATGTGGGAGCGAGTTGTCGTTCATGGTGGTGCTGGCGCGCGGTGATGGTTGGCGGGGGGTGGTAGGATGGGCATTGTGGTTGCGTGGTTGAGGGCGTAGGTGTCGCTGCCTTATAGGGCGGCGCGATGTTGCGGTTGTGTGGGAGCGTACAGGTTGAGTTGGTGAATGGTGTGGAGGTTAAGACTGTCCATCGCGTAGATCCTTAGCGACATCTTATTTGATTTGCAGAGTCAGGCGACGTGAAGGGGTGAAGACGCAGGGATACGAGGCGAGAGAAGGTAAGGCACGAGAAAGTTCGGTGATGGGGGAAGGGCAGTCAGGTAGGTGGGGCCTGCTGTTCTTGTCTTGTGTTCATATAGCCGTCCCCCTTCCTCGAGAAGTATGGAAAAGCTAGAGTTAGGGTAGCTTGAACCCCCTGTGGCAACTTGTTGACAGGTTTGGCGAGGGGTGTCACACCGTTTTCGTTTCCCTAGTCCAGGAGGGATTGAAGATGGTCGTTTATATCTTTGGTGTTAGTTTTGCTTCGAGCCCAGATGCTAGCAGTGGGAGGGAGGTAGTCCTTCTTTCCCCAAAGATGCAGGGGTAGGGTTTGAGAGGTGGGGTAAGTGGTTGAGTTGAGGAAGAAGGGACGGGAATTTGGTATTAGTGGATTAGGATTCTGCCCACGCGTCGCCTGGTTTCCTGATAATTTGAAATCTACAGTCTGAGATAATTTCCGCAAATTCTTAACACTCTGATTGTGAATTGTCTGATTGTACTCTGATAGTTTTCTGATTGCTTCTTTTGATGATTGTACTCCGATTGTTTTCTGACCGTTTCCTCTGATCTTATTTTCAAAATACTTTATCCTGTGAGTTCACCTGTTAAATTGAAAATTGTAAATCAGGCTCTGTTTCTGTTAGGTTCATAATTCTTGACGTAATTTTGCTGCTCTTAACAACGATCTTAACCACGATCAGGATTATCCTCTGGATTTTAGATATTCATGAGTCTAATTTGGATACCTTAGATAAATTTCATAAATCTCATTTTTTAAATTCAGAAAACCCTAAGAGATGTTCTAGATAAGAGTTCATAATTTCCCTAACCTTCGTTCTATGTCTGCAAAGAGATGTTATAGATAAGAGTTCCCAATTTCCCTAATTTGTTTTGGTTAATTTCTACTTGACGAACCTGTGTCTGCAAACCTAATTGATTTCTATCATGGTAAACTTCGAATTTGTTTTGTCTTCCCTCAGGATGGTGTATCGGCTTAGGGTGGTCCGGATTTGCTAGGTGGTTGGATGGTTGGTTATGGCTTGGAGGTCAGGAGGATTCTGCTGGGACGACTCAGGCCGGTGCTGGAGTTGAGGCTCTGTAACCTGGGTAGGAGCTTGAGGCCTGGGGAGTTATGCCGTCAGTGCGGCATAACCAGTGTCGGTTCGACGAAGTCATGGTCGGGGGTGTTTCCCTGTGACTGTGGGGCTTAAAGACTTTGAGGAGTAGTCGAGGGTGGAAGACACTTCTTTCCGTGCGAACAAGGTGGACCGGTTATGGGGTAGCGGTGGCGCCCTGTCACCCTAGCATGAGGGGGTCTGAGGTCTGCCGCATTTTTGTACGAGGACTGACGGCCTCCATCTTCCCTCTTTCTGCTTAGCAGGTCCAGATTTTCATAGTATTGGTCGAAAGTCCTATTTAGGGCATCCGATGGTATAGTCTGTTAAATTCCCCTAAATTTTTTATAAATTTGTAGCCTGTCTTAAATTCCCTGTACTCAGTCTACATCTGTTTCCAGTTTCTGTGGGATTTGCGACTACTCTTTTGAGGGTTTTGTCTGAGATGATGTCTAAGAATTGGTTATAGTCCGCTTCTTAAAATTTTGTGAACTGTTGAGCTTATTATGTGAATTCGTACGGGGCGGTTCTGTTGAGCTTTGGGAGGTCTGTCCAAGATGGAGGGCAAAGGGCACGAGATAACTCTTTGTGAGGACGGAGAGAGGGTTGTATCGGGGTTGTCTGAGGGGTACTGGTTAGGGGAACTTTCATTGGATGCGATTGGCGTCGCGCAGCTTGGGCTGTCGGATGGGTACCGACTGATGAGGGTTTACTCTAGTACGATTGGCCTCGGACAGTGCTGGTTCACCCCCTCGAAGACGGAGACTGAAATTTTCGAGGGGGCAGGAAATTGCAGGATGAGGATTGTGTCTGGTGCTTGTTGAGGACATGGTATTTCGAAGTCTTTACTAGGACGAAGTTGGGGAGGGTGAAGGGGGGACAGGCAAGTGGATGTTCTGTTGGGTTTTGGGGGATTTGTTCAAGGTGGGGGGCAAAGGGCACGAGATGACTCTTTGTGAGGACGGAGAGAAGGTTGAATCAGGTCGTCTGAGGGGTACCAGCTGGGGGATTTTTTTCATTAGATGAGATTGGCATCGGGCAGCTTAGCTGCCGGATGGGTACCGGCTGATGAGGGATCATCCTGGTGCGATTGGCGTCAGGCAGCGCTGGCTTACCCTCTCGATGACGGAAACTGGAAATCCCTGAGGGGGCAGGAGATTGCAAGATGAGGATTGTGTCTGGCTCGTGCTGAGGATATAGTCTTTCAAACCCTTTACTAGGACGGAGTTGGGGAGGATGAAGGGGGTTCTGATGGGGGTGGTTGATAACGGATGCCATTGGCATCGAGTGGAGTCTCGATGGGTACCGGCCGTGGTCAGCTGACTTCATTAGAAAGTACCCGGGACCTCCCTTTCGATGACGAAGACAGGACTGTTGCACTTGTTGGTCTTCCGGGACCTCCCTCTCGATGACGAAGACAAAATTGTTGTACAACACCATGAAGTGGGGAGCAGGGGATTGATGAGTTTTTTTTCTGAAAAAAAAGAGTTGTTAGGAACCTCAAATAGCAAAAAAGGTGAGTGGGAAAGATGGTGGGTTGTCACGCATCCTACCAGTGAGGGGGCTAGCTGGCAGGATGGTAGTATGGTATAGCAGCAACTGAGATGGTGGCTCCGCTGTAGTCAGTCTTGCCAGAGTGAGGTAAAGTGGATAGATGGGGGTTCTTCTGAGTCGGTTCTGAAATCACATGTCTGAAGCCAAAAAAAAAAAAAGTGGGAGAAGATGGTGGGGTATCACGCGTCCTACCAGTGAAGGGGCTAGATGGTAGGATGGGAGTATGGTATAGCAGCAACAGAGACGGTGGCTCCGCTGCAGTCAGTCTTGCCGGAGGGAGGTAAAGTGGATTGATGGAGGTTCTTCCGAGTCGTTTCTGAATCATGAAGTTATCATAGATATGTATGAAGTAGCTCTAATTCTCTGAGCCAAAGCCGGGTAATGGCCCCGGTATCTTAATCATCCAATTTCATTCTTAGGCCAATTGGATTTTTCTAGTAGGTCCTTTTTTTTTTTTTTTTTTTAATTTAGAAAAACACCTCATCATAGTCACTGATAGGAGTGATGATAAAAGCATACACTCCTACCAGCTCCACTAGGGGCTCCAATCTATTGGTGGGGAGCTGCACCTGCTGGAAAACGGGTCCAGCGTCCCTTGACATAAAATGATGTAGAATTGAGATTGAAAATGTTAGGAAACGGGCCCAGCGTCCCTTGTACCTCTTCACCCTCATATGAGTGGCGCCATATTGATCAGCTTAGTCTTGGTACTAATATGAAAATGTGATATACTGATTTGCCGTATCTTTCTTCAAGAAAAATTAAGAAGCAACTCATTCCAAAAACCCCCCAGCATATCATACCTCCTATAAGCCATACCATGAACTAGGAACAAGAGCAGACACAAGGGGGGGGAATGGATATGGGAAGTCTGATAATGGTCACATGGGTATTGTAGCCTCAATATTAGTCCAATCATCGAAAATCACTTTATAGTCCCTTTTGAATCCAGCATCATCATCATCCCTTGCCCCATTCCAACAAACCTTTCCTATTCTCCTTCCCTGGTTTCCGCCCAGCCATTCGCTTGTGAATTTCCGAAAGTGATTCTGAATTTCTGTTATATCTTAAAGAAACTTCACTTTTTTTTTTATTTGATCCCACTTCGTCAAAATATATATTTGAATTTGTTGCTTGATAGTTTCTGTGAAGTCTGGACCATCTAACCTTGCCCCTTCCCATTCATAAGTGCACCTTTTCATCCAAATAGCCCACATTACCGCTCTTCTCCCTATTCGAAATGATTGTCTACAAATTCTCCATTGTTCCCCACCAGATCTGAATCCGGGCTCTAGGTCTCTAGGAGAATGGCTTTCCATCCCCATGGTCATTTAACTTGTGGGACTAGTAGTGACCATATACGATCCCACCACCTCCAAAGCCAGATTGAACCCGGACACTGCATATAAATATGCTCTATGGTTTCTGGAGAAATTCTGCTTGGGAAAGCAGATTTAAAAAGTTTGCACCATCTTACTGCTAATCCTTTCTGTTCTAAGGATGATCTGTCAATAAGCCAGTCATTGGTAGGGAGACAACTATGTTTTATTGGCCATTGGAGGGAAGCTATCTTTGCTGGTTTGTCCTTGACTGTTTTAAACCATCGGACCGACTTCAGCTCCTCCTTACTTATATTGAGGTGTTTTATCCATCTTGTGAGTATCCTGTTTTTTAAATTTATCCTAGGTCGTAGCATCCTATAGGCTGATTTGACTTTAAGGGAATGAAGATTCCTCTTGAATGATCTATTATGTCTTTTTTTCCTTGATGTCGAACCCCATACCCAATTAGTTGGATCATAGGAGGGTTCCGAAATGGGACAATCTGGTTTGAAGGCTATCAAGGAATGCTTATTCCTGGTTACTCTTATTCTGAAAATCTGGTGAGCTTGAGCCCATCTAGTTTCTCCTTGGCCCTTTGGAACTGCAACATTAGATGCTAATAACGAAAAAATTTGAAGAAGAAGACCTCTATTTTGGTTAGGTTCTAGAATTATGCCTATTTCCCCTGGATGGGCTTTAAGTGCTACCCAATCATTGGTCATAAATTTGGGTCCACTCCTAAGAATACGAATCCAATTGAGAGGGATGAGTTCAATTATCTTTTCCAGGGACTCCATCGAATAATGACAGTACCTTAGATGTCCTCTTAGTTTAGATGTGGTTACCCAATCCTTGGTGTCCTTGTCTCATATGTCCTTTATCCTCATGATGTCATTCCGAACGCATCCCTTCCAAGGAGAATGCATACAATGGAGAACATAACCCTGGGAGTCTCGAATCCATCTGTTATCAAAAAGAGGTTGTTGACAAACTTCCTCCCACCTTTCTGGTGGTAATGTACTAGTAAGAGGAAGTTGTCTCCACATTTTTAACAACGAGACCCAAAATGGGTCATTTTTCAAATCTTGCCTTACAGCTTCCCTATTTGAGATTGTTGATGTTGTTCCTGGCTTGGAACTGTACCTGGGGATGGTCCATGAGCGGTTTTCCAACCATATTAGCGGATCAATTCCTTCAGTCGTCTGGGGTGCTAGTCTCTTGATTTGCTCCAGGGCTAAGGGTACCCATGGAGTCTGAGGGCTAAATAACAACTTGAATCGTTGAAGCCATTGAATTGAAAGGGCCTTGGCTTGGGTCAGAGGATCTAGAATCCCCAGACCTCCACTCGTCTTTGGTTGAATGATGGATTGTCAAGCTACCCTACTAATGACTCTGGTTACCCCTCCATAAGAAAGCAGTCAACTGTCGCTGAAGAGATTTGAGAGAATCTTTGTCCAGAGCCCAAATCCTTGACTTATACCAAATGGATGCAAGGATGACATTGTTAATGATCAATGATCGTCCAAAAATCGAAGTATGTTTATTTTTTCATACTTCCACTTTCGCCTGGGCGGGTTGAGAAACCCATTCATTATGATTCTTTGGTTTACCTTCAGCAGATAGTGAAATTCTCAATACTCTTATTGGGGTATCCAGAGACAACCACTTAATCCTAGGAACATCTGGGGGTCTCCCTCCTTGGCGGTGAATCCACCAGCCCGTAGTTTTACTCCCCCAGTTGACTTTCATGTTTGAAAGACGACAAAATTTATCCATGAAATTATGAATCTCTGCCATATTCTCGTGGGTAGCATCCACAATTAGGGAAAGATCATCAGCAAGAAGAGGGCAAATAGGAATCGCCTCTTTCGGAATACTAGTGACTTGTATACGACGAATATCTTTATGTTGTCTTAGATTAGCCGCCAAGGCCTCCATTATAATGACAAAGAGGTAAGGAGTCAGCGGGTCCCCTTGACGTACAGATCTTTCTAACGGAATGGGGGGGGGGCACATTATTATTAATCATAACCCTTGTAGTAGCATTCTGATGCAGAATTATCACCCATCTTCTGAAATTTGGACCAAAATTCATTTTCGCTAAACACTTGTCCACAAAAAGTCAATCCACATGATCATTATGTTTTTTCAAAGTCAATAAAAATAAAGGTCGCGTTGTGCTTAGATTGGCGATAAATTTTAAGAAACTCATTTACCAAAAGTATATTATCTTGAATATTTATGTCTGTTATAAATCCTGTCTTGGATGGATGAATGATTTCTGGAATTATTAAGACACTAGATCTGCTAATGCCTTAGCTATAAGCTTATATACCACAGTGAGAAGGGTAATAAGCCGATAGTTCCTTATATTTGTCTTGTCCCCTTTTTTGTACAAAAGAGTAAGTACTCCGTGACCTACAAATACACCCATATCTCCCGAATCCCATACCGCCTGGTAATAATCCATAAGATCCTCAGATATGAAATCTCATCATGATGCTGATTCCCAGAATTCCTTTGGTAGTCCATCTATGCCCGGGGACTTGTCTTCTTTCATTAGTAAGAGAGCCTTCCAAATTTCATCCTTCTCCAGAGGATTTTTCATTAATATCATTTGTTCCTCCGTTATGAATCTATCTAATGGCGTAAGGAATTCTTCCATTTCTATTAATCGTTGCTCTCTAGGAATATGATTATTCTGAGAAATGAAAAGAGATTTAAAAAAATCCCTTGCTATTTTCGAGCAAGCCGCGGTCGATGTGACCACTTTACTTGGGTCGTCCGGGTCTGATAATGCCCCATTTTCTAGTAGGTCCTAGTCTCAATTGCATGAAATTTTCCGACGAGTTTTCTGAATGTATTCGTTATGGGACACTAGGCCCAGTTCCCAGTTCGTGCCAATTTGTAAGGATATGGTTGTATCTATGGGACGCTAGACCCGGTTTCCAGCAGGTGTTGCTCCCCACCAATAGATGGAGCTTTGTTTTTTGTAAAAAAAAAAAAAAAAAAAAAAAAAAGCAATCCAGCTTCCCTTTCTGCGTCCTTGGTCATCCTCCAATAACCAGTCGCTCCAGATTTCCCGCCAAAATCATGAAAAAAAAAATTTGCATCAAGCAGGTCATAAAACTTTCTTTCGCAATCGTCGTGGGTACGCTTTTCATACCCTTTCTCCACCAGGTTTGCAACAATCCAGGCGTACTTCTCCTTCCTACCCTTCATCTTCTCCCTTCCTTTTCTCTCCTACTGCAGACAATCTTCATGTTTGCTCCAGATTTCCCGCCAAAATCGCGAAAAAAAAATTCTGCATCAAGCAGGCCATAAAACTTCCTTTCGTAATCGTAGTGGGTACGCTTTTCATACCCTTTCTCCACCAGGTTTGCAACAATCCACGCGTACTTCTCCTTCCTACCCCTCATCTTCTCCCTTCCTTTTCTCTTCTGCTGCAGACAATCTTCCTCAAACATGAGTCGCGGCAGATCGAGACTCTCCTGGGATCCCCCATCAGGAGCCCGACTTCTTCCTTTCCCCCCATTTTCAACTCCTTTCTTCACCCCTCCTGACGTCTTCGTTCTCCTTAGCACCTCTGGTGATTTTGCCACATCAGCTCCACTGGTCCCCTGCTCCGTCGTCTCGATTGCGGGATGATCAGTACATGGGGTCCCTGCAATCATGTCTGTTGTCGGTCCGCCCCATGCATCACCCATGCTCGCGTCCACGTTCGACTCTCGGACTTCCAAGTCATCCACATCGCACGGCGGGTGGTCGTTGTTGATGCTGACTGATGACATCACCGGCGGCTTAGTGTTGGGATGTTGCCATGTGGCTGACCAGCATAAGGGGTTGGAGGGCCATCCATCCCCGTGGATGAGTTCAAGCCACTGTGGATGTGATGAGTTCCCCGCAGATTGCAACCCTTCGCCGACCCCTGCCTCACCAAAAGATCGATGCAATGCAGGCGTAGATGGCATCCCCCGCTGGCACGCGTCATACTGCGTTTCATTACGTGCCATCCTCACATCTGGCCATCCACCAGACACAGGAGCTGGACTGCTACCTTCGGCAAGGAGGGCTGTCATGCTGCGTGCCGCTCTCCCGGGACTGTAAACTGATGTATTAAGGTGCTTGAAAGTAGGCAATGGTGGCAAGCCGTTCGGTATTGGGAGGCAATATAGTGCCCCATCAAACCCGGAGGTGGATGGCGAGGGGCCTTGGAGAGATAATCCATACCTGGCACTCGTCGAAGGTGGGTTGTCCTGCGCGCTTGCATCCATCGGAAGGGGCGTCGGGGAAGGGGATCAACTTTGAAGAGGTTGTCGGGGTGCATCCATACCTGACAAAAAGTCTTCACACAAGCTTGAATCCGCTGGGTACTGGCAGGCGATGGCGATGTCGACGACTATGGACCAACTGTGATCACAACGACACCTCCCGACAGGCGGCAGTGGAGAAGGGGTGCGACGGATATGAGGGCCAAGCGATGGTAATGGCGGATATCAGGGCAGAGTGATGGTGTACACGGGTGTTCGAGGTGGGGAAAACGAAGATGCAGGGCCCATCAGTGTCTCGCGGTACCTGCCAAAGTAGCGGATTCCCCACAAGCTTCGAATTTTTGGGAATTGTCGCGAGAGCCTGCTAGGGGGGGAGGCAAAACGGTGGCCCCGCGGTGTCCCACTTCAACGGCCACTCGGCACAGATGTCACACACTGCGGTGCACCACGGACATCGGACAAAAACCGATGTGGACCACACGGACAACCACCAAAAAAAAAAGAAAAACGAAGCGAAAAACCGCCCCTTCTTTTCCGCTGCAGAAGATGGTCGTGGCCTCTTCCGATTTCCGAAAGAACTACATGAACGCAAACCGCAGACGTCGCGCCATGTCCACTAACGTTTCCACATCTCCGATGATACAGGGCCTTCGCCGAATTGTCGGGAAGGAAGTCGGATCCCGTTTTTTGCCCAAAACTACATGCCGAACAAGAAGTGGGATACGACCCATACTTCTTTTTTTGTTTTCTTTTTTTTTTTTAAATAAAAAAGAACGTTGAAATCCCAAAAAGAAATCATGGGGTTGTACGGTTTTCAAACCCTACAAGTTCTACAACCCCCCTTTTTGTTTTGCCTTTTATTTTTGAGGGAAAAAAATTAAAAAAACTCAGCCTTCCACAACCGGCCGCGGTCGACCTCAGCAGTCGGGTTCTCGACCGCCAGGCGGATTTGGCCTTGCGGTCATGACCGCAGGGGATACATAGCTTGCTGCCCATCCACATGCCTTCCACAGCTCCAAGATACGGTTGATAGTAACTTGATACAATGAAAACTATGTAATATTGGGACGCTGGGCCCTGTTCTCAGCAGGTGCAGCTCCCCACCAATAAATGGAGCCTTCGCACCTGGGGAAAAAAAAGGAAAAGAAAAACAAAAGAAAAACAAAAGAAAAGGCACGCAAGTGGCATTCAGAGGTCTTGGGTTCAATCCCCATGGGCCTCATGTTCCTTCCCGGCCAAGGTTGGCGCCCGCCACCTAGAGATAGGCCATTGGCACCCCCGAGTAGCATTGAGCAGAGAGTGCTGATGTTCATAGGGGCAGGAGACCGGAGGGGAGGCACAGCGACTGACCCATCGAAGAAGCTCGGTCCTGATGGTACCGGCTGACCCCTGATCGTTATCACCCAGCTGCTGGTGCGTGCAGCTCCCACATGTTCCCTCATTGGAGACTTGAGCAGGGAGTCGATGTGGCTGCTTTGGGGTTCCCCGTAATACTATAATGACAATGAAAAAGGCCTGAAAGGCCGTCCTGTCCAGATTCGACAGGTAATTGAACTGGTTGGGGTTAAACCACCACTACCTTTCTCAGCTATCCGTGCCAAGCCTAAAATGGATGTTCACATCCTTTTTTTTCTTTCTTTTTTTTTTTTTTTAACTCACGAGACTCCCTTCCATCCTACCACGTCTCTTGACATATCTCCTGGCGCACCCCCACATCTTTCACCATCTTACCTCTACGCGGGGAACATCCCTTTTTACTGGAGCAACCTGACCAGACAGCGGACGTGGGCACTGAGGCTGAATGGGCTTCCCCATTCAGCCTCAGTTGAGGCACTAGTGTACAAGCCTCGTTATACGGGTACCTCGGGAGCTAGGCGCGAAGTTATTTTCCAACTAGTCCCGTGAGCAGTGAGGGTACCCATAGGCAGTGTCTAATGGTCGCCTAACCAAGGTCTAACCCATGAGCACCCTTATTTCTACAACCAACCCGGCACAGCGTAGTTCATATGTGTGGCTACTGTCAGTTGTTGAATATGGCGGTGGTTGATATGTGAGCTTAGTATGATATCATAGTCTATATGGATGTATGTGGTTGCTAATGAGCCTTGCTCGTGTCTGTTCGCTAGGGAGAATCGACCAGTGGTAGTGGAGGAGACCTCCACCCTTCTCAACTACCCCCAACCAACCACTGAAACCCACCCCCCCAGAATGGGTCCTAGCCCTTGAGAGTAGGACAGACCTCTTGTTTCGACATTGGCTTCCCTACAAGGCACCCCTCCCTGCAATAGGACTGCCATGGTATCACCATGCACCCAACTAACCCCTTGCCACTCCCCGGCCCGAGAGAGAGAGTAGCATCCATCCCACATCAACTTTCCCGTGGGAAAGGACTCATGTCTCCCCCAAATCCATCCAGTATACATAGACATGATGAATGAGTATAGTCTGGAGTTGAACCCGGGACCTCCATCATACAATATCAGAGCTCTACCCACTGAGCTATTGAGGTCATTAGTCTGTAAAGGCGCTATGCCAGGCTCGAGACAAGTACGTGGGGTGCAACCTACACCAACCAGTTGTGCTCAGGGAAACTGAGGGCCGACAAGGTCGAACCCGCAACCTCCCTGTTCCAACACCGGAGCTCTGCCCACTGAGCTACCACGTACTTGCTTACCAACTGGCCGTCTCGAAGGTAAGGCGCCAAGTATGCCACAGGCACTTGTCGTGGGGGCAATGGGAATTGAAACCCACGACCTCCTGAGTGCCACTTGAACGTCTTACCAACTGAGCTACACCCAGTTGGCTTGGATGTTCACATCCAAAGAAAACAAACCGGCGCAGAGTCTATTTTGGCTGGTGCCGCCAGCCATTTCGCGCTGGTAGTCCCGAAACTTAACCGGCGGGCATTTATTTTTCAAGTGAGGAAAGGTACTCAGCTGGTGGTTCAAAAGAATTAGTGTGAAGGTGATTTCCCGAACACATCCAATTTTCATCTACTCTTTCATTACCTTACCCCCATCTTACCCCCATCTCCCTTTCGCCTTCTTCCCCCCAACGGGATTCGAACTCATGAGCTATACATGGACACATTGACAAGTCAATATTATTCAGGCATATGAGCTGGGGCCGTATTACCTGTGGACGGATGGATCAGCCGTTTTTTTCACCCCGTAAATAGTAGGGCCATTACGTAGGCTCGAACACATGATCTTTTGGATTTGGATGGAAATCGAACATGATCTCGTGCAAAGCAAGAGGGGAGGTCCCACTGCGAACACGGTCAGCTACGACACAGAGGCAGGAAAGCTGGGACGAGGTCCCACTAGCACAGAGGACTGTGTACCGCGCACGCAGAGCTGCAGCCCAGAGGGAGCGAGGACTATGAGGCTCGCCACACAGGCTATCGTAACTCTTTGAGTTTCTACAGCTGTCAGAAAAAAAATTGAAAGTCAGAGGTAGAAAGTTTACCCCCCCTTCGCCACACAGGCTGTTGAGGGGAGAGGTCTTTGGTCATGGCCAAAAGAAACGGCCAACCGTGTGCCCCTCCCAAACCCCCATTTTTTATTTTCTTCTTGATTCGAACTTCCCAAACAAGAAATGCCGGGCGCTGGCCACAAACCTAAACAGGTCGTCGACATTTCCCGATCAGGAAACTTGCTGCACGCAACCGGGTATAGCGCATCCTCCTGCCTGCGAATTAGATTCAACGCCTGAATCTGGACGTGTCTGAGGAGATGCAGAAAAACCTGATTGATCTGCTTTTCTGTACCTCCAGTAAGAATAAGAACCTATCCAGATTCAAGTTGTTATTTCGATCCCCTTTGCTAGTGGGACCTAGCCCCCTATTGTATTTTGGGAAAACAGGTCGGACCCCTTTTTCTTCAACCCCTACGGCGTGCTCGCTGATCCACAAGAAGATTTCTCCTCATCCAATCCGAGCCCCCCCCCACAGTGCCTCACCTGTGAGGAGTTAGATCCTTCCCTGTCTCTAGGAATCTTGTGGGAGTCCAGCTGGAGGGCAAATCCCTCCTGGAGGAGGGGGCTGCCACGGCCAAATGGGAGAGTCTGCCCATACCCTACAGAATGTCCACCTCAGCGACGAGGGAGGGCCAGTCTCTATGATCTACCCACTGTACCCAGTCCATCTGGCAGCATGGTAAACCTGCACAGTGTGCACACGTTGATAATCAGACCAGAGTTTGAACCCTGCAACAGAGCATGCGAAAGAAAAGCTCTGCATGATCTCCCCCTCTACCCTTTTCCGCAGAACATAACGCACCATGATCATGAATGTATAGAAGCTATCTTTCCAGTCCGGTACAGGCAAAATGAGGGTGCCTTCCCTCAGGTCCCCCATTGGCCTCATGTGCCTTCCTGCGCATGCCTGGCGCCGGCCACCTAGAGATAGACCACTGGATCCCCCAATCTGCATTGAGCAGAGTCTACTGATGTTGGTAGGGGAGGGGACCACCACCTGAGGCTGTCCCCTACCTACATAGCCGGTATGGCCCACCTGCAGGTCGGGAGCAGCCCCCGAATGTTCACTCGTGAACGCTGTTCTGGCTGCTACGAAGTTCCCCGTATGCCTACAATTAGGAGTAGTGGCCCGGGGCAAGGTCCCACTTGCGCAAATTGGGAGATTTCGGCCGTTGATCTTTGCTATCTACGCTCGGTATCTCTTAATTCATGCAAGTGGGACCTCGCCGCAGGTAGGTACATAGTGTGAGGTGAAATTGAGAGATGAACATAACTTTTTATGAAGGAATTGTTTTTTTTTTTTAATGCATTTTTTATTCACAACAAATGGGATAGTGCTTTTTTTTATTAAAGAATCGGCCCATCGGGAATAAGTTTAGTTTTCTTTTTCTCTTTCTTTGGCGGTCTGTCATGATGACAATATAGCACTTCAGAGGAACTTTTGTGCCCTCTGACACACCTTCGGCTGGCGGCTCAGTCTACATGCAGTGCACCCACAGTGCGTGTGTGCGAGCTATCCGGAAATGGACACAGCACTGCATACAAACGTAGGGAAGACATGGGCTGCCATGGGCTGCCAGGTAATGAACGAGGATGATTTTTGGTCCCCATGCAGACGACCACACCATGGTTTTTCTCCTTCGACAGTGCGTAACGCCTACAACAGGGGACTCCGTCGTCCCGTCGAAAACGGATTCACGAAACGGTCTGACACGACAATGATGACAACACCGGAAAAAAAAAAAAAAAAAACCGACATTACCAAAAAAAAAAGAAACTCGTCTCGTTGAGCTAGCTGAGACGAAAAAACGAGACAGCTAGCTCAACGAAAAATCGGAAGGGTAGGGGGCGTTGCAAACGAGTTTTCAATGTTTTTCAGTGCAAATTGGATTAAATAAAAATCGGATTCCGACAGAAGAAATTGAAGGTGAAAATAGACCGCGCGATTTCAAGAACTCCTTGAATCTCCAGCGTCGCGTTANAGAACTCCTTGAATCTCCAGCGTCGCGTTAATCGATTAAATAAAAATCGGATTCCGACAGAAGAAATTGAAAGTGAAATCGACCGCGCGATTTCGAGAACTCCTCGAGTCTCCAGCGTCGCGGCAGGTCACACGTCGTTGAGAACTCAAACTCAACGAGGACCTGCCTCAATGCTGCTAGTGGGACAAGGTCCACAAGTGGATGTTCCACGCGCCTGGAAATTTTTTATGTATTTTTATTTTATTTTATTTTGTTTTTGAAGTAAGCTACATTATTTTCTCAATTTCACCTTACACTACCTACCTACCGCTACTCCTAATTAGAGTCCTACGGGAACCCCGTAGCAGCCAGAACCGTGTTCACGAGAGAACATGCGGGGGCTGCTCCCGACCTGCAGGTTGGCGATACCCGCTACGTAGGGGACAGCCAGCCTGTAGCATCAGGGACCATGCCAGCAGGACCAATTCCTGTGCCTCCCCTTTGAGCAGAGTCTGCTGATGTTCGTGCCGCGGATTCTCCTTTCTCCACCCGAGTCCACGGTAAAGGGAAAGAAAAAGAAGGGAGAAATCCAAGGCCACAAAAGGAGAATCCACGTGCGTGGGACCACCACCTTGAGCTGTCGCCCTTGACCTGACCAGGGCCAGGTAAATCTACTCATCTGATTCAATTCGAATTCGAACTCAGGGGCTAGGTCACGGGCCCACTTCGAATCCATGGATTGCGAGATTTCGGCCGTCTCTCTCTTCTCTACGGCCACTTTTTCTAAATCTATGCACGTGAGACCTAGCCCCAGGTCCGTGGTTCGACAGATGAGGAGCCTCGCTCCACTACTCGCGACATGCACAAAAGAGGCAAAAATCGTGGCGGTGCATATTTCCATGTTTTAGCAGAAGATTCAGTCTCGTTTTGCACATTTCGAGAGTAGTGGAGCGAGTGGTGGGACCTTTGTCCGCACGCACACTATGAGCCTCGCCACACCACTCTCGAAATGTGAAAAAGAAAAAATGCGGCGGGCGCATCTGGCCATGTTCTAGCAGGAAGTTCATTCCCATTTTGCACATTTCGAGAGTGGTGTGGCGATGCCCTATTCCAGGAATGAGAGGTAGAAAAAAATTGGACCACAGGAATCCAAGCACAGCGGGTCGTAGGCAAGGGGCCCCACTAAGCTGGATTCTTCGTTCGTGGCCAGAATGAAGAAATGCATGCATTGGGAACTCAATCCCGGTGACAGGGAGAGGGAGTACTCGCAAATGAGAGAAATCGTGAGTGTATCTTTCCAGCTTTAATGTCTAGATACCCTCACCAGTTCTCTCAGTCGGTCGAGGCAACGAAGCCCATAGATAGACGACAACCTTCGTTTCACTGTGCGGGATTGTTGTTGGAGCCAAGCAGTATATCAAAGAAAGATATCTCAGCCTTGTCGTTCAGAACGTCGGCTTCGTTTACACGGCTGACAGCAACTGGCAGCGGCGATCGACTGCGCCTCTCTCTCTCTCTCTTTCGCTCTCTTTCCCTCCTTTTCCAGAGAGAACGTAGTTCGTTCGTCTATAGTCCACCAGCCGTCGATCACCATGGCCGCCATCGCCGCCGTTGCTGCCGTCGCCCCGAGCACATTCGCCGGCCAGACCGCTCTCAAGGAGCAGAGCGAGCTCAGCCGCAATGTCGGCCAGTCGGAGTCTCGCGTTGTCATGAGGAGGACCGTCAAGTCCAGCGACAGCCTGTGGTACGTCTCTCTCTCTCTCTCTCTCTCTCTCTCTCTCTCTCTCTCTCTCTCTCTCTCTCTCTCTCTCTCTCTCTCT